TGACTGCATTTGGAGATGGGGCCTTTAAAGAAGTAATTAAGACTAAATGAGGTCATAGAGGTGGGGCCCTAATCTAATATGACTGGTGTCATTTTGAGAAGAGGAAGAGACACCAAGGATGCTTGGACCCAGAGAAAAGGTTATGTAAGGATTCAGTGGGAAGGTGGCTGTCTGCAAGTCAAGGGGAGAGGCCTCAAGAGAAACCACCCTGCCGGCACCTTGGTCTTGTATTTCCATCCTCCAGAACTGTGAGAAAATACATTTCTGTTGTATTTCTGCCACCTAGTCTATGGTATTTTGTTATGGCTTCCTTAGCGAAATAATACAAAGTGCAAGAAACCAGGCAGCATTAAATAAAGCTTTTTTCTTCCTGCCTGATATAATTTTTAGTTTTTTTAAAAGTTGCTTTTGCTACATCCGTGAATTGTCTTTGCCAGTGCTTGTCTTTGTCCATGTTTACCACCTCTATCTATGTAAAGCCTAATATTTCACTTTTTTCATCTACCTTATATTCGTATGCTAAATTTCAATTTAAGGGCTACTCTGTAATAGTGATTTTTTAAATAGTAAAAATATTTATTTTACTAGTAAAAAAGGTTTCTGAGTACTTCTAACAACTTAGTTTAGGGTAAGAGAAAATTTTATACCTATGGCACTAGCAATATTCTACAAATCAACATATGTTTGTTGGGTACCTACTGTGTGCCAGGCACTGTTCTAGATGTCAGAGATATAGTGGTGAACAAGTCAGAGAGGGTTATTGCACCATAGAAGTGAAGATAGAGAGTAAACTCAGCCAGTCAGCCATCCAACCAACCAACAAGGCAGCTATCCAGGCAGCCAACCAGACAACCAACCAACCAGCCAGTGATTGCAATTATTAAAAGAAAGAAATAAATAGCATGACATGATAGAAACTAATAGGGGAGACCTACCAGGGGAAGTGCTTTTAATCTAAGATTAGAAGCCAGAGAAGAAGCCAGTGTATATCCATATGGAAGGAAGAGGAAAGGTGAGAGGGAAGAGTGATCTAGACAGAGGGAAGAGCTAGTAGTATGGTCTTGAGGTAGGAAAGGGCTTGGCTTGTTTTAGGAATTGACCGAAAGCTGATGTGACTAAGAATTGTGATTGAATGGAAGAATGCCATGAGAACTGTAGGCAAGAGCTAGATCACACATAGGTTTGTAGATCATGGTGAGGGGTCTGGATTATAAACTCAATACAATAGGAATCTATTAAAGGGTTTTAAGCAAGCAAGTTAATAATAACTTAGACCTCACATATGAAATCCAGATATAGGCATTCTTAGAATGAGGTGGATGTCTTTTTTCCCCAAGCATAAAATATTGTGGAGCAATTTTAAACTAGTTAGATTATCAATCCATTTAGCAAGCAATATATTGGCAATACAAATGTACAATTTCTTGCACTTGAGAAAAACATTAGCAGAACAATTTTAACCTAGTTATATGAGATCTGGAGTCTAACCAGGTGACAGCAATTGATCATGATAGCAAAGTATGGACTGGAGCCTTTAGTTTTCTTCCCTCCCTCCCTTACACTGGGGGCCTTTTCAGAGTTGAGAGAAATATGTTAGAAGCTTCTGAATGGTAAGTATCTAGGATGTAATTGTAGTTAGAGGTAGAAGTTCTGGGTTTGTTTCCAATCTTTTGCTCTGCCTGCTGCAGACCTTCCCTATAAACCACTGGCAAGCCCAGTACTTGGCAAGTTTTAAGGGAGGACAGGAAAAAACCCTCACTGTAGTACATTGTGAGACCACCTCCTCCCCCATTGGAGAAGGTGCTTAAAAGCCGTTAAGGCTTTTAAAACTTCACTGCATTAGGAAGGCAACAGAAATTCTCCCTTAAGCTGCCGTTTATCTGGCTTATCTGACATCAGAATCAGCAATGACACAAGTGTTTTTTTAAATTTAGCAGCAGACTATTTACAAATGAGTCAGTTTCCTATTGTGTTATGAAGTTCATATAGGTCAGATGACCCCCCCCCCCCCATAGAATTGATTAAGAGCATGTCTAAATAATGAGAAAAACAAAGCTTTTAATCGAGAAGGGCTATTAGGTGCCTGTTTGCAAAGCATGTAAAGAAGTGTGCACAGACAAGGAGGCAGAGGAATGTGGTAGAAAATAGATGGGATCCAGTGTCAGCAGACCTGTGTGCAAGCCCTTTCTAGCATGTGACCTTGGAGAAGTCATTAATGTCTCAGAGCTCAAATTTTCTTATCAGTGAAATGAAAATAATAATATCCAACCTTCTAGAGCTGTAAAGAGCAAATTAAATACTGTGTAGAGAAGAGCACTGATATTTTTGAAGTGCTTCATGAATGTAAAATTTATTATTTCTATTCTGGCTGTTGTGATGAGATAAAAGAGATTGAAGACTAAGTTTTTTTCCTTTTTGAAACTTACAATTAAAATGAGAACTTACAACTCATGGAACTAAATACATAAAAGATAACTTATTAACAATCACCATTCCTATTACTAGTATGTGCTCAATATTTGTTAGAAGGAAATAAAATAATAGAGTAGGATATGTAGTTTCAGTAAATAAGTATGTGGAGGACACAGTGTGGAGGAGTTATCCATAAAAGCTTTTTGCAGGGCGTGTGTCGAGGCAGGTTTTATAGGAGGCAATGTAGGATAGTGGTTATGAACTTGGATGGATAATGGTTAAAATCTCCGCTCCACTGTTTAATAGTAGTATGATTGTGGGAGAGTCAGATAAACTCTCTAAAATACCTTCACTTATCTATAAAATGGGGATGATTGTATTTACCTTACGAGTTTACTCAAGGACTATGAGAAATTATATACATAAAACTTTTAACACAGGGCTCAGCATGAGGCAAGTGCTTTAAAAATAGTAGTGATTATGATTATCACCATTATTACATATCGTGCCATAACTGAATAAAGCATTATAGCTATGATGATGATAAAGGAGGTGAGAGGTCACTACATTACTTATATAGTCATGATAAGTGTGAGGAATTGTTAGAATCTAATTAAACATAAAGGGAAAGGAAGGAAAAACAAGCAATTTGAAAGAGAAGTTGTAATTTTTTAAGGACAGAAAACAGCTATGAGAAACATGAAGGGCACAGCTATTAAAATGGAATCTGCTTCATCGATCAGTCCTAAATTCAGCTTTGTTTTCAAAATACAAATCATAGCTAGCTTTTATCAAGCAGATGTAAGGTGTCTCTGCTGAGACAGCTTTATGGTCTTAAGTGACCATCAAGTCAGTATGATTAATCACTGGAGTAGGAAAAACGGCTGGTAGTGACAAAGTCTGAGCTTTTTTTCCTTTGGAGATTTCTTTGTTATGACCTTAATTAAGAAAAGGTCAAAGAAGAGCAGTAGAAATAACTGGGGTGTGCTTAGAATAATGGTGGAAAGCCCTTTATGTATGATCACATCATCGCCTTATGATTGGATCTGTATTGATTGTATTCTTCTTGGAAGATTATCAATACAATTTTTTTTTTATAATTTAGTATTTATTTCTACTGTTTCAGCTACCACATAACATGGGGGTACTAACCTTCTTGGGAATGAGACTGAAACAATCTGCAGTTTTGAGAGACTGAGCTGTGAGAGAACAGATACTATTTAATCTAGAAGCTCAGAAAATTTGAACAAAAAGATAGGCCTATGTCAGCTGGACAGTGCATTTTCAGCTCCTTAAGGAGCAGGATGTAGGATAAAATTAAACTAGTGTGCTGGTTATATATTTTTAAAAATACAAATTAATAGTTATATATTATATGTTTATTACATATATAAAAAATTGCTAAATAGATAAATGTTCATTAGTTCATCAAACCTTAAAACATCTCATGTACTAAACTTGCAAAAATAGGTGTAAGGTGTCAGAAGCAGCAACAGGAAGAAACTCTGGAAACAGTTGAGGGAGGAAAGAGTTCTAGAAACAAAGTGGCTAATAACACAAGAGGTAGCCATAGCCATTACGTGCTTGAGGGAGGCCTTTGTGAAACAGTAGAGGAAAGGGGACCCACTATGCCTGAAGGAGTAAACCATTGTAACAGGAATTTAACCAACTGGCTCACTTAATAGTTGTAACTGCATAAAATCCATGGGTCCTTATTTCAGAGAAAATTGGAGTTGTTAAGCAAAACTGAAATATTTCCAAGGAATTGGTTGGCTAAATATGTTTGTAAAAAAACAGTAGCTAACTAGATTGAAACATATCTATGATAAATATATAGTCTGTCCTTTTACTTTCATTCAAATTGCAAATGCACATTTATTATTAAAATTAAGTAACTTTAACCAATGAAAGAAATCTCCTATGTCATCATTAAAATAGAGAAAATCTTTATAAGTGCCTTTATGCTAATACATAGAGCTATTTGAATTCCTGGATTTAATACATCTGAAAGTAGCTTTGCATATTCTGAAACTTGAAAGCAGGCTTTATCAGGATGGTTACTCAGAAACATTTGTAAGTAATAGAATTGATGAAAGACAATTTCTCCCACTGTTATTGTTAAAAAATGATTTCCATTTTATGATCCCATCACATCACCTTACTTCTTTTTTTTTTTTTTTTGGTTCTATCTTAAGTGAAATGAAGCACTGTTTTCCAAATCGGCAGAGACATCCATGCCCTTGGAATGAGACAAATTCTTGTACCACCATCCTGTGGTAATCTGACAGGACACATGTAGCACAGACCGAGGGGGACCAGAGTCCTGCATCCACCTGAATGCTCATATTTAGCATGGCATCCATTTGCACAGGTTTTCCCATTAGCTAAGATATAAACAGGGATATGAATTCTATGACACATTAATAGGACGTACCCAAACTAACATCACTAAAGACTTCTTACTTGAATCAGTTAAAAAGTGCCCAGTGACACCTTTGGCAGCCAGTGACTTTGTCCCTTGACTGCTTGTCACCAGCTCAGACTGTTCCCCTCTCTAAGGACAGTCAAGCAGCCAAATCCTCACTAACCATGATGGGTTGTTCCGGAGCATGTTGACATACAACCCGATGAGAACATGTTCATCAGCCAGCCTGTCTGCCACATTCAGGCTGTATTGTATCCTGAAACAGGGCAGGGGGAAAGAAAGGGTGTTGTTACGAGAGATGGGCAGAAATGAACAGAGAAGGTAGGAGTGAGGTTGTGGTAGGAAAGACATTTAGAAAACCAAGCAAACAAAGGAAGAGTATATGTGATGTTCTATGAAAAACACAAGCAAAATCCAAGCAATGAAATTCACAATTTCATTTCACTAACTTCAAAAATAAAGACTTCCATCTAGGTTAAATAACTTTTTAGAGAACAGATTTGCATTCTTTAACCACTAAGGCCAAGGAATTCATCTCTACATGAAACACATCAAAATGGGTTGCAAGCATAGATTAAGGATCCCTTTGGAAAATCAAATCTTCAACTTAGTCATTTCACAAAAAGAAAAGGAGATCAGGGAAAGTGAATAGCAACACAGATGTGTCTACTCGAAATAACTACTTGGCGCTGTTAATTGGTTATGGCAGAGCTGCTTTTACCAAATCAAAGATGTTCTTCCACACACAAAGCATTTGTGATAAAAGAAATCTCCGTTTTTAGTTTAGTTAATACAGGGTTCCAGTACACTCTGGCTTCAACTTACCCTTTGCCCTTCAGAAAAGCTGGAGCAGCCCTAGCCAGCAGTTTGTTCTGCTCTGCTTCACTGTCCTTGGGAGGAGAGCTAGTTAATAGGATGGGAAAGCCAAGAAGAGCGTAAACACAGCAATGCATTCAAGAACAGAAACTGGCAACAGAAGCTCCCAAGTCTAGATCCAAGCTCCATTTGGACAGATCTCTGATTATTTTGAAATGTTCAAGATGTTTTTAGATTTTCACAGAGTTCTAGGCATAGAAACCTGGCCTGAGAACCATAACTACAATTCTACAAGCTGCCATGATCCCAGATTTGACCTCTGCCATTCCCTTAACATATTGCATATGAGTAGACATAATGGAAATTCTTTCAACATCTATTATGGGCTATGATGTAAACAGTCCAATAGTGCACTAAGTCCTACCAGTCTTTAGATCCCACTCAAGAAGTTTACTTTGCTAGCCTTCCCTAAATTTTCCAACTGTCTGTGTTGAATAGACTTGAAAATTACCTAGAGATTGCTGTCATAATTACCTAGTTAGAGATTGCTGCTTCACTGCTCCAAGCACAAGTCACCTGATCTTAGCTGTGAAGCTACAAAGAAAACTTTCAGAGAAAGAGAAATATACCTTTGAGCCTTACGGACATATTCATATTTCTTGTGTCATAATAATGCATAACTAATGAATAGAGTCTCATCACTAAAGAAAATTCTTAACATTTTAGATCCATTATGAGAAATACTCTATTTACTAATGTCAATGATAGTTTTAAAGTTTCAAATAAAGTTTTATTAAAGTACAAATGTAAATATAAGTAATAATTAATTGAGTGTGGCCATGCCAAAGTCACTCAAGATGTACTGTGCTAAATAAGTATGCCTCATTAGGATATATGGTACTAATTTTTAGGATTACAATTGTCCCGGTAATGTGTTTAAAGAGAGCTTGCTTTTTTGTAGGTTAATTAAGAACTGGCCCTACACACTGGTGTACCTAAAACTATCCATTCTCTCATAGAAAATGTAAAACCAAACTGCTTTATTTAAATATCAAGTGTGTAACTACTGCGACTGAAATTATGAGGTTTTGCCACAAATTTCCAAGAAACTCTAAATCTACTATATATACATAACCAGCTCATATATATATATATACACACACACATATACATATATATATATAAAGGATGTCTTAAAATGTAGTTAATACCTTAAAAAACTAACTACAAGTTTTAAGGTTCTACTATGAAGCAGCACTCTTCCAGACCATGAAGTACAAAAAATAGAAATTTACAAATGAATATCACATTAGAATCATGCGCATTATAATTGGAATTCTTGTTTTATAATAGTATATACTGCAAGATTCTAAAACACTGAAGTTTCCAGTAAATTTATTATCAAATTTGATTTATAAAGCAAAGAGTAGAAATTCATGTTTGTTGAGTGTAGGACATTTCCACTCAGCTCTTTAGGAAGATATCTGTGACATAAAGTACTGCTGTACTTAAAAAGTACAACTGGACTCAAACAAAACTGACTTTAAAAATAAATTAGACAAACCTTCTCAGAGAATTTACTTTCCTGATGACCTTAATGATTTTTTCCCATCATATTGATCTTTACCTTCTAAGACAATGAAACCTGCCCATCAGGGCCAAATAACCACCTTAAGCTGTCATAGTTGGTGTTTTCTGTGGTGAACCATTATCCCACTAAAACAGCACTCCACACCTTGTGTACTGAGGCATATCTGCACATGTTCGTTATCCAGTAATCACAGTCTCCCTGCTGTCCAATATCCCCCCAACTTCTTTTTTATAGCTTAAGATATATCTATTACACAATTGATTTCAAATGATACAAAACCATTCCAAATGCTGTGTGAAATACCTAAAATTCTTCCCTCCAAACTAAACTATTTCCTTGCTTTGTTATTCTTCTTTGCTCTTTGAATCCCAGAAATTGTGGTGATATTTCCTTAAACCAAAAGCCTAATAATTACACTGATACATCTGCTGATGCTGAATATGCAGGATAAAAAGAAAGAACCAGTAGAGAGAAAAAACACAGGAAGGTCAACTATGAAGATGTGTTTGCCACCAATTTTTCTGGTGAAGTTTTACAGGAGAAAGAGGATATGTCAGTAAAAGCCCCAGCAGTGCCATTCTGCCACTCAGTCACTGAGCAAGCACAAGCATGGAGAAGCCTGGCTGATATCAGGGCCAGGTAGGGGCGGGTGGCAGGGATCAGGGAATTGGCTAGAGTTTCCTTTGATGGCCTTGTTCTTTCTTTTTCTCTAATTCTTTGGGCTCCTTCCCTCCTTCCTCTACTCCATTTGCCTGTCTCTCCTCTTTGCTTCTTTTTCTTCCTTCTCACTCCCAGGTCCCTTCATCCCTCAAAGGAATGAGCAGATATTCTGTGGGTACACATCTCCTTTCCCTTTATGGCCATTTTCTTTGCATTGATCTTTGTCAGTGTTGGTTTGAGGAAAGCATTTAAATCTTTTTATTTTCCTTGGGAAAACCAGTTCTTGGAAAATATGTGGGTATACATCATGCACATTTGTTAGATGTGTGGAAATAAACTATTTTGTTTTGGTACAGTGCCCAGTGCCAGGAGCATTTCTGATTTTTGATATTCACTGTTCCCATAGTTTCTGTACTTCTTAGAGCTAGCTGCAAATCCTTCTCCTTATCACTTGTTTCTGGGAAACCAAATATATGACCATGTATAGAGGAAGACAAGTGCACGAAGAAAACAAGAAGAAAAAAAGCCACTATTTCAAAATGATATGGATCAAGAACTTAAGAGAGTTTACCAGGAGGCAGGTTTCACTTAAAACTTGGGTCTTTAAAGTCTTTTTTTAAATGAAGTACCTTCTACCAGAATCGTTTCAGCAGCTCCCAAGGAACTTGAAGAAGGGAAGCAAAGTGATTTCTTTTTCTCCTGAGTTGTTGTGAAAATAGTGATGATATATTGTTTATTATGATCCCTCCAAAGCAGGGTATTCGCACAGTATTTTCTAGGATAATTTAGATTTTTAAACTGTCATTTTGTAGCTCAGCATTTTGCATGGAGAAGTGAAGTGATATTTCCAATTCATGGTGGGCTTTAGGATCAGGCACACTGAAACCTCCTTCCTTACCAAGGAATGAGAGCCTCCAGTATGGCGTGTGTCAGAATGCACTGATGTCTTTTACGTACCTCCAGCTCCACCTCCAAAAGCGTCTCCTTGCGTTCATGCCCTGTCCTCAAATCAAATGCATTCTTCCTTTTCACCTCCATAACTGGGGACTTCTTGGGGCTTCCTTTGACTATGGGTGATATATCTTTTCAAATCTAAGACTCAAGGAGAAGCAAGACTACCATCTCTAAGATCGTATGTATACATGTCTCGTTTTCTTGTCACCAGGCCCTTGCCAATGTATAAACACACCTCTTTGCACTCATGTTATTATTGCTGGAAACCTTGGAGGGTATGACATAGAAAATTTTGAAGTTTATGTGCTCTGCTGGAAGAAGAAAGGCAGGGAATATTCCTTTAGATTTTTTTCCCCCCTAAGAATTCTCTATTTTCTCACCAACTCCTTGTAAAATCCCTGGAAAATAGCATATATAAAGATAATTAGCCTTCTTCCAAAATTTTTCATACACACACACACACAAATACACAATGGGTTCTGGAAGGACAGAACAACTTCAAAATATTTCATAATTATTTTTTTAAATATCCCCTTAGTTTTGAAGGACAACTGATGCTGGTATTTTTACTTTAGTGGCAACATGTTGGGGTTTCCTAAGGTAACAAAATTACATACATCCCTGGATTTTTGCTTAAGCCTAAAATATGTTTTTAGAATCATTTTTACTTGTGTTGGGTTTCTATATTAGCCCTGATCAAAGTTTTTTTTTCTGTTTCTTTTATTGAACATGATATTAAAGGCCTGGATGTAGTGTCACAGAGCAAGGAATATTATATGAACAACCTATTTAATGTAAAATAATTATTTATACAAGGGTTAAAAGAAAAAATACTGAACCATGGCAAATTAAGAACAAATACTTTGATTTTTATTGATTCTTGAATAATTGGTAAACTTGGACCAATTTGGTGTGGTGTTTGGACTATGAAGAATGACTTGGAAAGTTGGCTCTCTTTTTAAATAACTATCAATTGAGAATAAAATTTTGCTTCTTACTATAATTTACATAGTCTAATAATAAGGCCATCAAACTAATTTTTAAAAAATTTATTTTATTTTATTTTGGTGGCTGGCCCATGTAGGGATCTGAGCCCTTGACCTTGGTGTTATAACACAGAGCTCTAACCAACTCGGCTAACTGGCCAACCCCATCAAACTAATTTAAATACAGAAAAATATTTTATTTTATTTTATTTTGGCGGCTGGTGCATGTAGGGATCTGAACCCTTGACCTTGGTGTTGTAACACAGAGCTCTAACCAACTCAGCTAACTGGCCAGCCCCATCAAACTAATTTAAATACAGAAAAATAAGAGTCCATAAATCTTTGAAACATTCTGCTTCCCTTTCCTTTTCTAGCTTCAGATAGCTGAGATCTGAAATATAAAATATTTGCTACATGCAAATTAACAAACAAGCATAAAAAAATAGGTTACTGTCTCAGTAGGAAAATTAGCTGCCATCAGTTCAGGCTGGCATGAAAGTTGAATCATTGTTAGTGAGTGCCGTGGAAGAAATAAGAACTCTTAGGCCATATTTGACTTACTACATTTGCTGTGTTGTCCTCCACATATCATCAAGCCATACCAACTGTATTTTTACCAAGAGAGCCTCTAGAAAAGTTTGCTGGGTGTGGGACATGCACAGACAACTAAAGCAAGACTAGTAACAGAATAAAGTTTATTAAAGTGGAGAAGAGAGGTGGCTTGGTTTTAGTTACGCACTAATATTTTAGTGTAGGAAATTGTCAGAGTTGAGTGTGAAGACCGACTTAACTGAAGTTTGAAAACAGTCTAGCATATCAGTGGAGCTCTGGGGCTACATGAAGAAAGGAATTATCCGCAGAGAGTGATTATTTCAAATTTCATGAAATGTCACACAGCATGCCCAGAAAATGTGAAAAGAGAAGGAAATCTTCAGGGTGGTGCCAGATGCTAATTTATAAATTTATTCTTATGCTTGAAAACAGATAGGTTTTAATCTTAAAGAAAATTAATCACGAAGAAAACTTTGATTTTTCAGAAACAAAGGCTGAATTCAGTATGTTAATTTTATTTCTAGTCATTTTTGATTACCAAATCACAAATTCTTAAAATTCAGTTTGAACATTTTTTTTTTCCTTTTTGTCTTTTTTCGTGACCGGCAACGGATCGCAACCCTCAGTGTCACGCCCGTACCGGACCGGGACCGGCAACGGGATCGCAACCCTCGGTGTTGCGCCCGCACCTCGCTCAGCCAGTGAGCGGCCGGTCTGTATGTGGGATCCGAACCCTCAGCGGGAGCGCCACCGCGCTCCCAAGCGGCGCACTGTAGCAGTGCGCCACCGGGCCGGCCCCAGTTTGAACATTTTAAGTCAGATTAAAAGCCTGGGTTGTTAGGTAAAAAATCTTTGGGTAAGAAAATGTGTTTGAAAAAACTGCAAAAGACACAGTGAATTATTCTTTCTTTGGTTGAAAACCCAAACCAATCAACCAGCTAACCAACGAGTCAACCAAGAAAAATAACTCTCAAATTCTGCTCCACTAGGAAGAATCAGGATTTGAGAAGCACGTGGGA